TGCGAAATGATTGAAGCCAAAAGCCTTCCCCAGAAAGCAGACCCCACCTGAGAGAAGGATGGGAGGCAGTCAGCTCCATCTACCGGCGCGGGCCCTCCCGTCCCGTCCCGTGCAGACCCCGGGCACCGCCACCCCGTCACAATGCGGAGGGAGAGCAGCCTAGAAAGGAACGATTCGCTCAGATTCGGCACAGTCGAGGCCGAGCTGGGGGCCCTGGCAGCTGTAAACCCGGCCTCCGGCTCGCGGTGGGATGGGCACCTGCGGGGGAAGGGTAGGGGTCCTGAGGGCCATGAGTGCAGCGGCGCCTGTGCTGGCCCTTTCCTCGCTGGGGCTTCGTTTAACAACCACAGGAGGGACCCCTGCGCAGAGCAGGGCTAAACACGGTGGGAAAGAGGAAAAAATAAACCAGAAACTCAAGCCCTGGTCGCTCTGGGCTCCCACTCTCCCACCGGCGGGTAACTGTTGCCTGGACCGTGCACAGCTGTGCCATGGAGCTAACTGCGTTTTGTTAAATTCCTACAAATTCTCCCGCTCCTTGCCCCTTGCCCTTGCCCCTTGCCTCTCTGGAATCTCAAAGACCTCTCACTTCCCAGACGGACATTTGCTCACGTGCTCTGGGGTTTCTAGAGCCCCAGCGACAGGACCCTGACGGGACTCTAACCTGGGTCTGTGCACAAAGCTGGTCCAGGGAGTGGGACTTGGGCAGCAGCCCCTGCCCACCAGGGCCCAGAGCCTCCAGCTTCCTGGTGACCCCTGTTGGGTGCCCCCACCCTGGGCCGCCCGTGTGGAGCTCAGCTTTGCTTGAAATCCTCTGCTGGGTCTAGTACAGTGGGGGGGGGCTCTCACACTCATTCACTCCTTTCCCAGAGGTCCTGGGAGGTCGTGGCGCTCACTCGGGGCCATGAGCTGGAGCTGGCAGAGGCAGGATCTACCCCTGGGGCGGGGCAGGCTCTAAAGCCATCCCAACAGCCCCAGGGCCAGCTGTGCTGTTCATCCCCCTTAAACTTAATCGCCATTCCTTGGGGGAAGGATGGAGGCTGAGGCTGAGAGGACTGGCCGCCCCAAGCCCACTGTCCACCAAAATGGGAGGGGTCAGAGTAGATGAGTCAGACCCCAGCCAGGCGCCAGCCCTGCCTGGGCACTGCCTGGGTGCTCACTCTACTCCCTGCCTGTGTGCCAGCCAGAGAGGCAGCACCACAACCTCCCCTCGCCTTCCCCCACTTTACAGAGGAGGAAATGCAGGGAACAGCTTCACAGAAGAGGCCCGGATGGGGCCAGGGGCGCAGAGGCAGGAGGATTATCTGCACTCTGCATGACTTAGATTCTCTCAATTTAGCTGGGGAGGCCTGCTTGGACTCAGACCTTGGGCACAAATTCTGCATGGAATCACCTGCAGCGGGTGAGCTTGAGCAAATCCCATAGATGCTCTCCCAGGTACCCCTGCAAAGCTCTGCCACCCCCAACCCCCCACGAGAAGCCTGCATTTTCACACACTGAGGTAGCACTCCCCTGGAGAGTGGAGTGGGGGGACCTGGTCTTCCCCCCTTAGCACCATTGTCCCTCCAGGTTGTTCTCTGGGCTGCACCTGCAGCAGAGATGGGTCCTATACTTCCCCCCACTTCCCCCACCTCCTCATGACCGCCAGACAGGGCCTGAACAGCATGTTCTTCTCAAGCTTGCTCAGCCTCGAATTCCACCACTCTTTGGGCAAATCCTGGTCCCAGCTGGGGTTCAGTTTCCCCACTATTAAGCTGTCCCTTGGATGGGGAGGTATGTTCACCCCACTGGAGGTGCCCCCTCCACTGCCACTGTGTGCAGGCTGTTTTGCTGAGCAACCTGAGCCTCAGTTTCCTCATCTGGAGAATGGGTACAATAATGGTCCCTACCTCTCAAGGCTGCTGTCCTCCCTGCCAACCTCAGGGAGGGTGTGGTTAACCACAGGCAGTGCATGGCCAGGCCCAAGCACAGTGTCTGCCTCGCTGGCAGCTCTAAATCCCTCCAGCCAGTGGGGAGTGGAAGGATGTCCAGCCTCAGGAGGGCCTGGGCTTGGCCAGAAGGCCCTTCAGTGACTGAATTCCCCTTCCTGGCCTCAACTCACCGCCTGACACCAGCTGCCCACAGGGTCTGCTCCTTCCCCACTGCCGGGCTGCTCCTGGGCCTAACCACAAGCCCTACTCCTGCACTGCTCCTCCAACCTCCAATCTAGCTGCTGCCTTCAAGCAGGCGCAGAAGTGCTCGCATGGCCACTCCCCACCCGAGCACCAGTGAGGACAGCTCTCTCTCTTCACTCAGACCCAACTTAAATGTTTGCTTTTCCCAGGCCTCTCCCTGGACTCAGCGCCCCAGTGTGCACACGTTCGTGTGCTTGGCAGCCACCCAGTAGTTCCTTCACTGCCGGCCTGGGAGGAGCACCTGCCGCACAGAGAAGACCCTCAGTTGCCATTTCCCGCCCGAGGGCTGAATCGAGTCCGGGCTGCACATTTTAACCTCACAAGCCGTGGCGGGCCAGTCTTGACCCGGCTGTGCCCAAAACCCCAAGGGGAAAGATGGGGTTCGGGGGTGCTGGCCCTATCCTAGCCCCCTGTCGGTAGGGAGAAGATGTCGGGAACCCTGGGGACGCTGCGTGGAGGGACGGCGAGAGGGGACCCGCCCCTGGTGCGCAGCCTGGCCCGCCTCCTCCGGGCAGCCTGCATCGCCGCCGGTCTTAGCCCTACTGGGCCGCGCGACCTGAGCCCGAGTTGCGTCCGATTAAAGCCGCTCCGCGCTGGCCGCGTGGGCGAGCGAACCAGGGAGTCCGCGGCTGAGAAGCTGCGAAGGCGTCTCGGGTCCTCCTGCGGCTGCGGGCGCCTCCGCGAGGAACCCAGAGAGCCCAGGCGCATCGTGGCCCCCCCAGTTATTGCCCAGGCGGCCCTGTCAGGCCCCTTTTATGGAGGAAGACTGAGGCGTGGTGGGTGCGTGGGCCCCGCGGTTACCCGGGAAACAGCGGCGCCTATGGCAGGCGCCATCCAGAGCCAACTGGTAAGAACGACACTCCCCGCAGCTCTTGCAGGGTGGCGTCGCGTCCTCACCGGCTTGACTGCGTAAACTCGCCCTCCCAAGGCACGGCGGCAGCAGTGGAGGAGGGCGGGCAGCGAGAAACGAGCGGCCCGCGGGGCACTCGGCGTCGGAAGCAAGTCTGAGCGGGACCCCCGCTGGCCCCCCGCTCCACTGGAAGGTCCAAGGGGCGGGCAAGGAGGGTGGTTGGTTTCCTCCGCGTGGGACCTTCGGGTCTTCCGCCCGCCCCGTAGCTCCAGCCCCTCCCCCACCCCCACCCCCTGCCGCAGGGTCTGCGCCTGTTGGGCAGGGTAAAGCGCTTCCTTTCCTGGTTGTCTGCGTTTCTTTTATTGGTTTCTCTAGGCTTTGATTTGCTCTCTCCGGGAGAGGACGCCTATGGCCGCACTCCCGCCCGCGACGCAGCCACCGCTAGCCGACTCGCCGCACTCCCGCCGAGCGCCCTCCTCCTGCGAGCGCCCTCCTCCTGCGCGGGGCCGCGTCCCTGCTCCCGAAAAGCCTCCTTCCAATCCTTTCCACAGAGCCTTAGGGAGTGGAGCCCCAGCAACCTGCAGGCGGGACGCACCCCCAGGCACTTGTGCACGGCCAGCAGGACGGCGTGTGCTTCAGGCACGTGCGCGGTGGAAAGTTCCTGAGGACACAGCGCCGGTGCTGAGGCCGCGTGCCCGGGACAGGAATTAGGGCCTGTTGGCCCCAAGACCCTACCCCGCCCCGCCCCACCGTCCAGTCCAAAGCGGGAAGGGTAGGCGCCCCGACGGGCGTGGAGACTCCGGGGGCCCGGGGTGCGCGCAGCTAGTTTGAAAGGGTTAGAAAGAGGCCACGCGGGAAAACCACGCGAGCCCGCGCGGGCTCTCTGGGGTGGCCCCCCGCTCCCCTCCGCCGCCCCCTTGCCTGGTCCGCCCCTGCTGCTCTTGCGGGCGGAGGCGACTGGTCTCGAGATTCCCGCGGGCCCCGCGGGCCCCACTACCATCCCGCCCTCGGGCCGGCTCCCGAGGACGAGGTGCCCCAGTGACACGCCCGCCGCCCAGCGCCCAGGCCCGCAGCCCAGCCCCAGCGGTCGCGGGGTCGGGAAACTCAGTCTCCGACGCCTGTGGGTTTCTGAGCCTTCCTGGGATAGAAACGCGTCCCTTGTCCCAAGGATGCGCGCTCCTCTGGCGCCTCGGGCCGTTCCTGGAGTGCGGTCCTGCGGTCTCGGCTCCCTCCCGCCGCCCGGCCCGCCCTCCCCGCCGCCCGGCGCCCCTGCCAGGGAGTCTCGTTTCCCAGACTGAGAAGCTGAGACGCGGCGGGCGGAGGGCAGGGGGGCTGTGGGGCTGGGTCACAGGGCCCCTCTCTCTCCTGTCCCCCCTGGACCGCAGGCAGTAACGCCGTTCTAAAAATGGGCCCCTTCTGACCCAGGCGGCCTGGGCCAGACCCCGGTGTGGCAAAGACGCCCGAGGGCCGGGTTGTGGGGAGCCCGGCTCGCACAGCCGTCCTGGCATCGGGCTTGGGAGCAAGTAGATGGGCTGTGCCACCCGCGGACGCCGCGACCCCGCGCAGCCTGTGCTCTCCATTGGTCAGGGCGCCAGGCCAGGGCTGGCGGGCATCGTCCCTGTCGTGCGGCCAGTGCATTTTCAGCAAGAACCAAGTCCCGCTAACTCCTCTCTGCCGGCTCTTGCCCTGGGCGGCGGCTGTTCCTCAGCGCTCGAGAGGGCCTGCTTCTCCCGCGGTTTGCGATTCCCTAACCGAGGCCACCGCAGTGGTGCCGGGACAGGGAGAGCTGGGCGCACCTGGGCTGCGATTTTCATGCGCCCAGACTCTGGCCGCGGCCTGTGCCCCTGCCCAGGCCCCAGTGTCGTCATCTTACCTCCAGCTCAGGCCCTGCGCTCCCGCCGCTGGGCGTTGCGTTTCTCTGCGTTGCGTTTCTCTGCCTCTGGCCTCTTCCTGGGCCCGCAGGCCGGCTGCAGACCCGGAGCCTCCCAGAGGCGCTTCGCTGGGGCGGATTATCTTCCTTCCATCCCCCAGGCCCGGCGGGGTCCCAAAGCCCGGAGGCGCTGGAACTCCACGCCCCCTCCCCCCACACCGCTGCTTTTGCTTGTTTAACCTTCTCCCCGGGAGGTGACCCTGCGCCCCGCCAAGCGCAGCCATCAAGGTCAAGCAGGGGTGGGGGGGGCACCTCAGGGGTCATCCAGCGGTAGGGGTCCCCCAAGCGGCAAAGACCCTCCTCCCATCCCCCAGCCCGGAGCCTTAGGCAGGCATCCCAGGCCTGGTTTCCAGAGGCCCTGTGCAACCTTCAGCAGTTATCTTAGCCTTTCTGGGCTTTGACTTCTGGGGACTGAGCCCTGCCTCCCCTGGGCCTGTTTCAGGACTTTCTTCCCTCCCTGCACTCGGTGCTCAGTCCTGGGCCCCTGAGCAAGACAGGGCCACCTGCCCACAGGTGGTGGGTCACAGAGAGTCCCCTGCAAATCAGCACCACCCCAGTCCTGCAGTCCCCCAGGTGGCCTGTGGGCTCCTCTCTCTGACTGCACTGGGAACTCTAGGGGCATTGACCCGGCTGATTGTGCAGTGTCACCCTTGTCACTCTGAGAAGGGCTGGAAGGGGCAGGAGGGGTGGGAGGGGGACCTAGATGGAGCCTGGAGCTGGGTCTGCCAAGGGCCCAGCCTTGGTGCCCCATCCTTGGTGTGTTTCTCAGGCACTAGGACTTTTGCCTTTTGAATAGTGGCAGTGGGGGCTTGTTAATGTGACCTCCTGATATGGGGCCTAGAAAGGGCTGGGACATAGGACAAGTGGCTCCCAGGGGCTATGTATACCTCATGTGGATTTGCCCTTTCTAGACCCTGAATGTGTCCTCGAGGTAGTGATGATGTCCCCCCATCTGGAAGACAAGGGAAAGGAGTCCCAGAGCTAGTTAAGGTGCCCAAGTCACACAGCTCATGGCCAGGACAATGGTCCATACCAGGCAGAGATAGGGGACTGTGGTGGACTCTGAAATGTGGGGCTCAGCGGCCAGCCAGATGCACGGTGGCCCAGAGACCCAGGCCAGCCTCCTCTACCAAGCTCAGGGGACAAGCCTGCCCCAGGCTGAAGAAACCTCCTGAGGCCCCACTCTACCCCGAGCCCTCGCTGGCTCCTGCCCCAGGAGACACTGCTCTGTTCTGGAGGTCATATTGCCGGGAGGGACCCAAGCTCTGTGGGGGAGACTTGGGCAAGGCGCTGGCCCGCTGTGCCTCCCTCACCCACCTGTACAGGGGTTGGTGGGCAGGGCTGGGGGTTCCCCTCTCACCTAGGTTGGGGCCAGCAGGTGGAGCCACAAGGGGAATCAGCCCCAGAGGTTGTTCCCAAGCCCCAGCCCCAGGAAGGGTTGCCAGGTGGGCCTTGCAGGGCCCCACCCCCCACCCATGCAGGACAAGCACGTAGATGCCGAAAAGGCCTCTGGGCTCTCGGGATTCCAGGAGGCACGTGAGGGGGTGAGGGCCTTCCCAGCTCAGCAGCCAGTCACCCCATTGCCCCCAAACAAGGTGAGTCCCCACTGGCCACCAAACCTGGCCCAGGACCCAACCTCCTGGTCACAGGAGGTAGGTGGGGCAGGAGGCCCTGGTCATGGGCTGGGAGCCTGGGCCCTGGCCCCAACTGGGGCACTTAGCCCTGTGCCCCATCAGCTGTGCCACTGGCGTGTTCTGGGGATGGGGGTCCTGGGGACCTTCGGGGTGTGGCGGTGCCCAGGATAAGCCGTCTTTGCCCACTCCACACCAGGAGGCTGAGCCGGCGGGGAGTGCCAGGAAGAGGCGCTGTTGAGAGACGTTTATGCTTCTCTGTGACTGCATTCTTTCAACACCCTGGTGCAGTAATAGGCCTTCACTGAAGAGGAAATGGAGGCCCAGAGAGGTTAGAGAACTCATTAAGGCCGCACAGCAGCAGGAAGACATGGATGTGAATCCAGGACAGGGACTGTGCTCTTCCACCTAGCCCCCGCACACACAGGTGCGTGCACCTGCGCACACTCACCCACCCGCCCCAGAAGGTGCGAACGCAAATCCCTTTCCTGCAAGCACTGCTCGATTTCTCTTCAAGAGCTCCTGCTTTATGCAAGAGTCCGCTCAGCCCTGAAGTTCAGCTGCCCTAAATGGAAATAAGTCCAGGAAAAACAAGCCACCACAGCCCCAGGTTCAGCTCACTGGAAACGCACCTCACAAGCTTTGGGTTAGCCAAGGAGCGACGGGGCCAGTGCGGACACAACACGGTTCTCCCAGGCGTCTCCGCCTTGGAAGATGTCTCTAGAACCGCTGGGTCCTTCGCGAGCTCACTTCCCATGCTGGATAGAAGCAGATGTTGTTACCAGGGAAACCTGGAGGAGTTTTTTCCCTAGGGAGAAAGTTTTTTCCAAATGAACACTTTTTGGGATAGTTCACCCAGAAGTATAGGGTAGGTTTTGGAATCTCAAGAGGTGATTTCTTTCCTTTCCTTCCTTTCCTTCTTTTCCTTCCTTCCTTCTTTCCTTCTTTCTTCCTTGTCAAGTGCAGCAGTGACAAGGAGCAGGGACAGTGGTCATTTCTAGGCAGCTCTATTGTCTCTGCAAAAACCCAGGCGTACTTCTTCCCTCCCTCCCTCCCTCCCTCCCTCCCTTTCCTCCTTTCTGCCTTCCTTCTACCTTCCTTCCCTTTCTTCCTTCTTCCTCCTCTCTTCCTTCTGAAAGAATCTTTATCATGTGTTTGCCACTTGCCACCCATCGGGCTAGTTTCTGGAACAGGGCAGTGAGTGGGCAGCCGGGGCCCTTCCCGGGGGGACCCATGGCCACTGTGTCACTTGCTCACTGCAGCTGGCCTAGGAGGCTGTCTCACTATTTGCGTTTTGGAAAGGCAGACGCTGAGTCCCAGAGAGGAGAAGGGGTTTGCTGAGGAGGCCGAGCAAATGGGCCCCTCCCATCAGGGCCTCCCCCAAGCTCCTCTCCCAAGCCCCTCCCCCACCCACAGGGCCCTGCAGGCCCACAGCCAGCGAGCTGGAGCTGGTGCACACCCCCCTGCCTTGCGCAGGCCATCCTCTTCCTGCCACGCCGTGACTTCCTCTCCACCCTCGGGAGCCCACTCGTGGTTAATCTCTCTCGTAAACATCATAGAGAGCTTGCACATTCCGTGTGGAGACTCTCTGGCCTCCTTGGGCAAAATCAGCCTCCCCTGCTCTGTCCCAACCTGGTCTTTGGCACAAGTCCCCGATTATGGGTCCCTGGCTCCCGCTCACCTGGTGCCAGCCGACCTGGTTCTATGCTGGCGCAGCCCCAGAGCTCAGAGCTGGGCACGCACAGCTGTTCCAGCTGTGGACTGACACAGTGGGTTAAAGCATGTCATCCTGACAGGGCCGGATGGGTAAGGAATGACGGGAAGAGGAGACGTCTCTGGTGCATAATGGAAGAGCAGGGTGAGCAGAGTCGGGGGATATTTAGGGGTCTCAGGAGAAGATACTGCTGGGAGGGAGTCAGGGCCCACCTGGGCGGGAAGGAAGGAACCAGGGCAGGAGGGGCCAAAGAAAGAGTTTAACCAGAAGAGCAAAATTCCTCCCCATCCACATCATCCCCAGCCTGTGGTTCTAATTAGGCTCTGGCACTTTGCAGCACCCCTTAGGAGCTACAAGCACTTTGGTTTACATCTGCTGATCGAACATGGGAGAAAACCCAGAAAAAATAACATGCGTGTCGTCGTTGGAGCACGTTTTTGGCTCTAGATTTGAGATTAGCATAATACTTGTCTAAAGCTAGCAACAGTAAATTTTTCCTGTCTGGAAACGTGTTAATGATATTTAGGAGAAAGTATCTTTGGATGGAGATAAAGTTTGCTCACAGGGCTTTTATTGTTATGTGTGTTCTTGGAGGAGCCAGAGGGAGACATCTGGGTAATGTTTGTCATCATTTCTTTGAAATATTTTAAAAATATGTGCCACCCCATCCCCAGAGCCGTTGAATTATGAGGATCATGTGGAGCCAATGCCCGAGTCTGTTGGCATCTGTCTCTGGGCTCGGCTCCCTGATTTCCGACAGGTGGGAAATTGCTCAGCCCATTTTACAGTCATGAAGACTGAACCTCTGTGGAGACTGGTGGACCCAGGACTGTGAAGTCCTCGGGGGGCTCAGTAGCAGGAGCCGGCCCCTGCTCCCTCTTCAGTTTACTTTCTGAAACAGGCTTGACCATGTCCCGCCCCCACTGGAAGGGGCCCAGCTCTCGGGCAGGTGTCCAGGGCTGGCTGAGCTTACAAACACCAGATCTGCAGCCTGAGGTTTTGTCTTCGGTGAAGTCAGCCGCAGTGAGAGGTGTTGGCATTCCCACGTCTTCTGAAATCCAGGGTTGACAGAGAAGCGGTTGCCTCTTGCTGAAAGCATTTTCTCCTGGAAAACGCAGCCTGTCCCCTCCCCTCCAGAGAAGGGGGAGGGAGGCCAGGCCTCGGCCTCACCCCCTTGCCCCAGAAGGAGCCCTGGGCCTGGGAACTGGGCGCCCGGACCTCATCCCCTCTGTCTTCGTCTGTCCTCGGGGCAGCTCTCCCGTGGGCTCCTCAGCTTGCACAGCTGTCAAATGGAGCCTCAGAGTGGCCAAGGGCCGTGACCGGCTTTGTTTCGCTGCGGACCTCAGCAGGGGTCCGGGCAGCGAGCCCTGGGGTCCTCACGGTGCCAGACCCGGGTCCCTCCTGGCGAGTGGAGACCAGAGCAAGTGTGGAGAAGCCCCCACTCGCAGGCATAGGACCCTTGAGCAGAAAACATGAGCAGAAAACATCGAGTGCACTCCAAGCTGAATATTTGGTGCTGGCCTAACCCATCGTTCTTGACTCCGACGTCCAAGTGGCCCGCGACAGCCTGGATCCCCGAGATGTTCTGTGGAATATCATTCCTTCACGGTGTCTCAGACAAAAGGCTGCTGGGGTCACTGCGGCCTGGGAGGTGACACACACTGGCTCCGCCCAGCCCTGAGATCTGCGACACCAGGAGCACCTTAACCACTGGAGGCTCGGCTGCAGAGGCGTCTGCCCGCGCTTCCCACGCACGCTAGCCTCGCGGCACGCAGAGACACCTTTTCCGAGTCACCTCTACCCTAGGCAGGGTCCACTCAGGAGACAGAAACCGCCCATCGCTGCAGAGAGCTCAGTGGGAAGAAGCACGAACTTGGTGCTGAAGGACTGAAGAGCGAAGGGGACCCCAGGACGTCTTGGGGGCAGCAACCCTGGGATGCAGCTGCAGCCCCCAGGCCTGGGAAGGCACAGGGAAGAGGAGGCGTTATTTAAACTCAGCAGCTCAGAGGAGGGACCGTCGAGCGGGCCCAGACCTCTGAGGGGCCACGGCTGGCATTTCTGGGGGCCAGGTTGGCCCAGTGTGTGGAAACTGCAAACTGTGCTGGGGCTGCGGGGAGAGGAGCGTTGCCATGACGACACCCCTGGGGCAGAGCCCACCAGGTTTAGGGTAGCTGTTCCTGCAGCGCTAAGTTATCGCTACGGCCCTACAGATTTGCCTCCTGGTGCTGAAGGCCGGGAGGCTGCCTGTGCGGAGGCTCGAGGAGCTCTGTGCACTGCGCGGGACGTGTCGGGGGTTGCACTGTCTCCCCAAAATTCATATGTTGAAATCTTCACCCCAGCACCTCAGAACCTAACCTTATTTGGAAATAGGGGAGCTGCAGATGTAAGTGGTTAAGATGAGGTCAGACTGGAGCAGGTGGGCCCCAATCCGACATGACTGGTGTCCTTACACAAAGGGAAAAATCTGACACAAACACACACACACGCAGAAAATGCCATGTGGAGATAAAGGTGAGGCCAGGGTGATGCTTCTTGCAGGCCCAGGAGCACCCAGGATGGCCGGCAAATCACGAACAGCTGGACGCGGGGCCGGGAACACACTCTCCTCCTAGCCATGGGGGGGAACCAGCCCCGCCCACGCTGGGCGCCCAAACCTCCAGCCTCCAGAGCTCCCCGCAATCAGGTTCCCTTGTTTGAGCCACCAGTTCACGGTGTCTGATGTGATGGCAGCCCCAGGTGACTGGCAGGAAAATTAAAGTGGCCAAGGACACATAAAGCCCCAGATTCCTGGTTTGCCTGGCAGGGGTTCCAACTACTGGAGAAACGGTTGTCAGAGCGCGAGGGACTTTCTGTGCTGGCAGACGCGCGAGCAGCTGCTCTGAGAAGCGCTGTCGTTGCTGAGTGCCCGGGTTAGAAGAACAGTGGACACGCCTTTAAATGCACTGCTGGTTGCTAGCAAGATACACACACACTCGCCCTGGCACCCAGCAAGGCCACGTCTAGGAACCTGCTCCAAAGACACGCCGGCCAAATGACAAAGCAGCGAGTGTGCGAAGCTGCTGCTGCAGGCCTGTTTGTGGGTGTCCAGCGTTGGGACTGCTTGATGTTTCCTCATGAGCAGTTTAGGTTCTTACAAAAACCTAAGAAAATCCCAGAAGGGACGCGGTATTATCACATCTGACCACGTGGTTCACACTTGTGATTTGTCCCATCACTGGGGACACTGACTTTGCTTGATTAGGTGGAACCTGCAGGTATCTCCACTGCAAAGTCCTTTTTGTAAGTAGCAGGTGTTTTGTGGGAAGTACACTAAGGCCGTGTAAATATCCCATTCTCCATCACACCCGTAGCTGGCCACTCACTGTTGGTGAAAGCGTGTCCCGTGGAGTCCTGTTGCGTTCAGTGGGTCATAACCCATCACGGCCAGCGTTTCCTTTCACGCTCAAGTTGTCCACTGTCTGGCCAGAGTGAGCCACTTCCTGGTGGCCTCTGCGTCCATTTGACATGCCCTGTCATTCCTCGAGCACTTCCTTACTCTCCAACACGACAGGATGGCTCCAGCTCACCTTACTCCTTCCCCAGCCCAGGGCTGGGACCAGACGTTTCCTCGAGGACCCGGGTTCTCTTTAGGGACAATGGCAGTTAGAAGCCAAGACCTGGATCTAAGTGTGCTCACGGCCATCAGGGTGCTGCTGCTCCTGGGGCCTCAGGAGGAGAGCTTGGCATAGACATTCGTGTTTACTTACATACATGCAGATGTGCAGGCACACGTGTTCACCTGCACCTACCTCTCTAAGCACTTCAATGTATAACATGTATCTGTGTATGTTGCAAGCCACACCTTTATACCTCAGACCCTAATTCACATCCAGCACTCAGGGCGGTTCTTGTTCTCTCCCTTTCTCTTTGCAACTTCCTTCCAGCAAGACCGCTTTCGTCATCCTCAGCATGCTTACTCTTCCATCACTGCCCCGGGTGAAGCCAGTCTCCCTCAGCCCTGCTGCAGCTGCCCTGCCCCGTCCTCAGCTCTGACTCCCACGCTGGGCTGCGTCTGCCGCCCCGTGGTCAGACACCACCTCACCCTGCTGGGGCCGCAGGGCCGTGCTGGGCCACGGCTACCACACACCCACCCACCCCACCCCACCCCACCCTGCCAGGCTGCCCCGCTGCCCATGGGCACCCTCCTTCCCTCCTGGACTGTGACCTCCACACTGGGCCACTGCGCCAGCCCCGCCTCCAGGCTGAATCTCTCAGGATGGGACGGGAGGGGGGCCAGGAACAGGAACGTCTATGCAGCTCCTCATAAGCAAACAGTGCCACCCTGCCAGTCTAGGTCGGGGCCAGCCCAGCTTCAAGGGGTGGAAAGATGGACCCCACCTCTTGGTGAGAGAAGCGGCCAAACCCTGTAGCCATGTTTTCCAACATAGCACAACCAGGTAGCCAGCACCGCTAGAGAAAGGGAAATAAAACACTTACGGGAATAGCAGCTGGGAGGGCGCCACCAGCCCCCACTCGGGGCCTCCTAGGGGAGGCTCCCCAGGGCGAGGAACGACCCCACAGGCATCTGAATTGCAGGGACGGATGGTGCAAATTTAAAATCGAGGTGAATTTGCATAATACAGCATTAACCATTGCAAAGTGCACAATGGAAGGGCATTGAGTGCATTTGCAGTGCTGTACAACCACCACCTCCATCTAGTTCCCAAACATTTTCATTTCTCCTAAAGAAAACCCCGTACCCACTAAGCAGCCACTCCCCAGCCCCTGTCAGCCACCAGTCTACTTTCTGTCTCCGTAAACTCGCCTGTTCTGGACGTTTCCTATGAGTGCAGTCGTGCACACGTGGTCTGTAGTGCCTGGCTTCTCTCACCAAGCATAAAGTTTCAAGCTTCGCTCACATGCGGCACGTGTTGGTGCTCCGTCCCTGTGTATGGCGGCTGACATTCACCGTGTGGACACGCCACGGTTTCTTTGTCCGTTGCTCTGGGAAGGGCACTCGGCCTGCTTCCACCTTTGGGCTCCTGTGGACAGTGCGACTGCAAACATTTGTGCACAGGTGCGTGTTTGAACGCAGGGTTTCCATTCGCTGGGGTGTACAGCTCGGAACAGAGTTGCTGGGTCACGTGGTGACTCTGTTTTGCCTTTTGAGGAACAGGCACATGCAGTTGAAGCGTTCGAAATAAAGCAGCTGGGAAAGTGACCCCACAGTCACAGCACTTCCGTGACGAGCTCCGTGCCGCGCCGGCGCTTTCGGAGGGGCCTTCCACGCCTGCCTCTCTCCGCCCCGCTTGAAACCCTGTGCTTTCCTGCAAGTTGTCTCACAGCCCTGGGACCGCACAGGGTAGGACAGCGGCGACGTTATCAGTTAGCCAAAGCAGCGGAGGGGGACTCAGAACAGAAACAAGGCGGCAGCTCGGCGCTGGGCAGGCTGGGCAGGCCTGGCGCAGCGGGCACTTCCTGTGTGACCACCGCCACGCTCCCGCGTGGCCTCTTCGCTGGAGCGGGTGCTGTCACAGGCCAGGCTGCTTCTGTCTCACCCGCCCCCATGGCCGGGGACTGTGCACGAGAAGACCGTGGGTGACAGCGCTGTGTCGGAGTTTACTTTGAAAACAAGGGTGCAGCCCGTTCTTTGCCGGCCCGTGGACAGATCTAGTTTTCCCATCTCTGCTCCCTGGGATCTGCTTTACGGAGGCGAGAATTGCTCAGGATCACTCACACTCAGAGGGCGCGGGGCCACAGCTCAGGACTGTCCTTTGCCTCTTTGCCGGTGCCCTGACAGTGAGCAACGGCCGAGGGTGTCACCCAGCCACCGGGTGCAGAGACTCTGGCTCCGCCCACCCAGGCTCTACTGGAACGGGTGAGTGTGTCCCCAAAATATGTCCATGCCTTAACCCCTGCCACCTGTGAATGTGATGTTATTTGGAAAAGGGTCTTTCCAGGTGTAATTAAGGGAAGGATCTTGAGATGAGATGAGACCACCCTGCATTACCCAGGGGGCCTGAAATCCAGCAAGTGTCCTCAGATACACAGAGGAGAGACTTGGGGAGAGGGGGAGGCCACTGGAGAAAGGGGCAGGGACTGGAGCGACGCCCAGAACACTGGCGGCCACCAGCAGCAGGCAGAGGCCGGCGGGACCCTCCCCCAGAGCCTCAGAGAGCACAGCCCTGCCCGCACCCAGCTACAGAACCGCAAGAACCAGGTTCTGTCGTTTTAAGTCCCCTGGTTTGTTCGTTGTGGCAGCCCAGGAAGTTTACGTCCTTAAACTTCTCCTCCCAGTTTCCTGGTCTGGGACCCTCTTACATGGGATGGGTAAGGGCAGAGGCCAGTCTCGGATCGGGCAGCAGAACCTGGTGGCGAGACGGGACAGTGGAGTCAGGAGAGCTGGGTGAGTCCCGTGTTCCGGAGCCTCGGTTCTGTCTCCTGTGACATGGACACATCCTTCCTGTCCCTGAGGTCATAGAAGCTGTCCTGGGTGAAACGTGTGTCACTGGGGGATCTGCATCCCACCCCTTCCACTTGACCCCCATCCTGCTCCCTGCTCCCCCACCCACTCACAAACTTCTGGGTGCCCTGCTGGGTGTGTGGGGGGAGATATCATAACTACATAAAACCTGAGCATTTTTCCCAGAACAACTCAAAGGCCAGAAAAGGGAGACGAACCTAGATGCTCCCTGGACGAACCTAGATGTTTTCAATTCTCAGTTAACTCTGGTATGGAGATGGCTGTTGCCACTGGCTCATGCTGCCTGGCTTGCATCCGACAACTGCTCAGAGAGGGAAGGCAACCTGCCCAAGGCCACACAGCTAGTGGGTTAGCCAGGCAGGATTCAGACTTGGCCACCCGACCAGGAGCCTGAGCTTGCGACTGCCGTGCCGTGAACTGGATACGCCGGGGAGAGTTCAGAGATGGCACTCCCTAAAGCTGCCCCAGGCACAGGCGCCAAGACCCGCCTGTGACACAGTGCTCATCCCTCACCTCGAGGGCAGTGGTCAGTTCTTCCTTCGAAAAGTGTACTGGACGCCTCAAAGTTAGAGCTGCTACTTGCTTTTCTGTGCACGGTGTGTCTGGGAGAGCCCACCTTGCCAGGACCTGTGGGTCTGGCGCATCCTTGTGGGACAGGTGTAGAGGGACCCACCATCGGGCCACCGTCCCCAGCCCTGGGGGCTGCGGAGGCTGAGGGAGTGAGCTCGGGGCAGCCCCATGATCAGGCCCGGGCAGAGCTGAAACCCCACAGCGCACTGGTCTCCCTGGTCCTGCCCTCTTTGGCCTCCACCAGCTGTTCCCTCCCTGGGGCTCCTGGAGGGCTGGGCCACCCTTGCAGGAGGGGAGCCCTCAGGTAGGGCAGGGGCAAGGGACACCCCCGCCCTCTGCCTGCTACCGCAGGGCCCTGCAGCTCCAGACGGGCGGGCCCATCTCGCACCACCTGCCGTCTGCTGCGGGCCCCAGGTGGGTGAGGGCCAGGCGGGCACGCCCTGAAGCACCGGGGGTCTGGGGTGTGTCTCTGGCGGGCTGCGTTTGTTCTTTGATGCCGAGAGGAGTCTGGGGTGAGGGCCAGGGCTGCCTGTCTCGAGATGGACACCTGAGGCCCGATCCTAATCACTCCCACACCCCGTGTTCCCGCAGAGGCTCGAGAGCCCAGGCCGCGCTGGCTGGAAAGGAACCAGCCAGAACTGGGAAGATCTAGGCTCAGCAGCAGAGTCTGCCCTTCCCTCGGGACAGCTGCCCGCTGGCGCCCCCGGGGCCCGCTGGGCTCCCGGCCACAGCGGCTGCACGTCCCTCCCTGGGGTGCGGCTGCAAGTTGTTTATGTTCATCAGAGTGTTGCCCGTGGTGGCCCAGCCTGGCACTGATGGCTCCTGGCCCCACCCCGCCCACAACACTCACCTGTCGTGGGTCTCCTGCAGGATTTTCCTCTGTGAGTCTCCCTCACCTTGGTCCTGCACATCCTCCTGACCTCTGCTCCATGGTCACTGCCTCCAGGAAGCCTTCCTGCACCTTCTCACAGCCCAGAGCACCTGCTCCTGATGTAGTTTCACATGCGCTTGTGTGATTATTTGATCAATGTCTGACCACCCCCTAGACTCTAAATCCTGGGGGGGGGACAGTGCCCCCTGGCCCCCTAGCTTCCCCAGCACTGTGCCTGGCACTGTGCCGGCCCCACATGGCCACCTGTCCTCCTCAGCCAGGGAAATTTGCTAAAATCAACTCCTTAGCACCCCCGTGGCTTTGGGGCCAAGTTCAAGCCCCCTTGTGCCTTGGGCACAGATCCTCAGGGACCAGAGCAGGTGTCCCTCTTGGTCCTGTCTGCCTCCTCCACGGTGGGGCGTGAGCGGGTCCCCAGCTCCTGAGCGTGTTTCGTGCGTTGCTGTGGGGCCCGTCTCAGCTCCAGATGACACCCTCACACGGCACTTTCTGCGCTTGCCCAGCTCCGGCGGAGGCAGCTGCTGCCACTGGGCCCTGCAGGCCCCCACGGTGTGGGAGGTGACCAGGGCCAGGCTGTGGGACATTGCCGCCCAGGGCCCCAGACAGACAGGATGGGCTCGGGGGGGGGGGGGGTGGTGAGCTGATCCGACCTGGTCCCAGGAGGTGTCCTTGGCACCTCTAGGGGAATGTCCTTCCACACTGAAAGCAAGCTGGAGAGGGAGAGGGAAGAAGAGGTGCTGGGGCCAGACACAGGGGAGGGGAAGGAGGGGAGGGGGAGGGGGAGCACCCGAAGGCCGGGGCACTGGAATCGGATTCCCTGTCCGGAGGGCCCCATCTCTGTCCCCATCCTCCACAGGAAGGCCAGGGGACTCCCCTTCGCACACTCAGGCCTCTCCCTCCCATAGCGCTCTCACACCCCATGGCTGAGCCTCAGTTTCCCCATCTGTAAAACTGGGCTCTGCTCTTCCAGTGTTGGGCGGGCAGTTGAAAGAAAGTGTGTGTTCTGTGCCTCTGGCACAGGGCAGGCATTCTATCATGGTGGTTCTCTCCTGTTTACAAAGAACATCTCCTGGG